AGAATAAATCTTTAAACTCGGCACTGGTGACCAGCAATATGAAACTGCAAAATTTGAACCACTAGCAATGATGACTCCTTTAACATTAGTTTAACTCCGTGGCCATCATTGTTAAATTGTTCATAATTTCTATTCCTTAGTAATATGACTCAATATTTCATGTTACCTTCTGTATTATGAGTAAGGTTATAAAAATAAAAGAGCGAGATAATACTGGAAATTTCTTGCCTCAATTCCAAAGGTGAAGACAGCTATGAGTTACCACAGATGGTAGGAATATCTTAAGTTTCATAAGTGGTTAAATGTTTTAAAAATTAAATTTAAAATTATGATCTACTGGATTCTAAAGGTATAGTCTAAAAGGTCATGTCATTTGGACTACACTTTGTTATTAAAGCAAAAAAAAAACCACCAATATTAGACAAGAAACTTAAATTTTTATATACCTGTGGTTGCGTCTTTTCACTTCTTTCAAGCCTTTCTCGTTCTTCCTCTGAAGCCACTAGTAAGTCTTCTTCTGTTGAAAAATTCATAGGTTTAGTTCAAATGAACTAAGAACAGTTAAAAAAATACTATAATCTTTATACAAATAGAGAATAAAATTTCTTTGTATTTTATATTTTGAGAGTTTAAATGAAGCTTAATGTTTACTGAAATATTTACTTATTTAAGAAATACTTCTAATTATCCAAAACTTTAACAAACCACTTGGGGAGACACTAGATACCACCAGGTTCAAGCCATACACAATCTCAGGGTCACTCACAAATTGTTCCACCCAACGTAGATAAACAAAAGTGTTGCAAACAAAACAAAATTTTAAAATACACTCAAAATATACAATGTAACACTTTACTGTACTTCATAACAGTATCTTTTTAACAACACACTAATTGAGTTGGCAGTTACTAATAATTTGCAAAATTATTGTTTATACTGTAATTAGTGTGCACCCCGTTTTTTACATCGCATATGTTCTACAATTCTGAAAAATGTATTTTGATCTTTTAAGACTCAGAATGTAGACTGGGCATAATAGCTCACATCTGTAATCCCAGCACTTTGGAAGGCCAAAATGGGAGAACTGCTCGAGGCCAAGAGTTTAAGACCAGCCTGGGAACCATAGCTAACCTTGACTCTACAAAAAATTAGACAGGCATGGTGATATGTGCCTGCAGTCCCAGCTACTCAAGAAGTTTAGGTGAGAAGATCCCTTGAGCCCAGGAGTTTGAGGTTGCAGTGAGTCTCGATCATGTCATTGCACTCCACCCTGGGCGACAGAGTAAGAACTTGTCTCCAGCAACAGAAAAAGAAAAGAAAAAAAAAAAAGGCTCAGAATGCTATGTGAAGTCTTCCTTGATTCTAGCTATCTTTCTCCACATACACATGTTTCTGCTTCTTGGGGCTCCCTTAGTACTTTGTCAATTTTTCTAGTGTCACTTTACCACCTCAACTGCACATCATGTCTTTACATGTCGATCCCCTTTGCTGCTAGACTGTAGAAGACAATCTTCTGAATCATCTTTGTATAAACAGTCTTAACTTTGCCAAATAATTAGCTATTGAGTTCCTGTTAAGTGTTAGGCATTGGGGTATAAGGAAGGAAAATAAAAGCTGTCAAGGATGGCTTTCCTAAAGATCATGCATGAGCTGAGACTTAGAGTAAGGTTAGCCAGATTAAGTGAGGCAGAGGGCAGGAAAGGATGAGCACATGCCAGGCAGCACCAAGAGAGGGAGAGAAGCCTCCAAGAGCATGTGTATTTCTCTGCAAAAGAGGAATGGTGAGAGGGGCATTACCAGCAGCTCAGTAATTCCAGAGAAAAAGGCAGATGGGGAAAGGGCTACGGATGGAGATTTGGGCAGAAGTCAGCTTCTTTTTCTTTTCTTTTTTTTGAGACAAGGTCTTACTCTGTCTCCCAGACTGCAGTGCAGTGGCATGATCTCGGCTCACTGCAACCCGGCCTCCCAGGTTCAAGCAATTCTCCTGCCTCAGCCTCCCAAAGAGCTGAGATTACCGGCGGGTGCCAGTACCACCTGCTAATTTTTGTATTTTTAGTAGAGATGGGGTTCCACCATGTTGGCCAGGCTGGCCTCGAACTCCTGACCTCAAATCGTCCACCTGCCTCAGCCTCCCAAAGTGCTGGGATTACAGACATGAGCCACCGTGCCCAACCCAGAAGTCAGTTTCTGAAAGCCTTATATAAACCTTTAATATGCTTGGACATTAGGTATTCAGGAGTGGTCCACAGATCTATTTACACTAGAGATAATTAACTCTAAATACTGTGAGGAGCATAAAATTCTGAGGCATATAAATAAATGAACAAAGATAAAACATAAGGCAATGTTGCAAAGATGATGCAGGTCTGAGGAGATGTTTTTAGAAATATTTAGAATATAAGTATCAGTGGCCATTATAAGAATGAATTTTTATTGAATGAATAAATATATATATCTGGGTCCCCAAAGAAATACATGCTGCTCATTACTTTACAAAAATTATCAAATGAGAAGTAAAATAACACACATAAACTGTTTCAGTTACTTGTATTTACTTGATACTTTTTCTGTTTCAGTTTTACTGTGCCAAGAAAATGCATTTGGGTTTTGTGGTGGTGGTGGTCATGGTTGTTGCTGTTGTTAGAGATGGAGTTTCACTCTTGCTGCCCAGGCTGAAGTGCAATGGTGCGATCTCAGCTCACCGCAACCTCTGCCTCTCGAGTTCAAGCTATTCTCCTGCCTCAGCCTCCCGAGTAACTGGGATTACAGGCATGTGCCATCATGCCCAGCTACATTTGTATTTTTAGTAGAGATGGGTTACTCCATGTTGGTCAGGATGGTCTCAAACTCCCAAACTCAGGTTATCTGCCCACCTCGGCCTCCCAAAGTGCTGGGATTACAGGCACAAGCCACCACGCCCAGCCGCACAAGCCACCACGCCCAGCCACATTTGGGGATTTTGTTTTAAAAGTTCTGCTTGCTGGATCTACGAAGCTCATGAGAAAATAGAAGCAAATAAGTCATTTGCATAGGTAAGAAACTTTAGATTTATGGCTTGTCATCACTACTCTAGAAGATTACCATAAGGTTTTATAAAACAAAATGTTAATTCTAGACATAAAGGGAAAAAGAAATTAAAACTATAGGAGTGAAAAAATAATGCATAATTTATTACTGTTCACCTGATCATATGACTGATTAAAGGCACTGAATTTAACTTGTATGTAAAGTAGACCCCATAGTTCTGCAGTTAATCAACAGACTGTGTGTTCTAGCAGAATTAAATTTGATGCTCATGTGTTATCTTGAAACGATACAGCTCTGATGAAAACCCGTATTCCTAGTGCATGATTATCCATCCATTAAGACAAGGTGATGGAATGTGTGAGTACAGCCAAGGAGACACTACAAGGCAAATGCTCAATGGTTCCCATTAATATTGGGAAAATCAACACTATAATACAGAAAGCCATAGACATCATTTAATATTTGGTTTGGGAAGGTATTTTTAGTGACACTGCATATAATTATACCTAATAATTGCACAATTAGAGATGTAAAAATGAATCAAAGCCAAATTGTGTTTGAGTAGGAAATCTGTAGACATCTACTTCATTTTCCAATCGAGGCCCAAAATTCTAAATATAATCATGGTACCCACACACAAATTTATGTTAAATACTAACCTCAATGAAATTACTCTTTCTCCTCATTCTCTTTGTTATTTGTATGTTGCTTTCCTTAAAGGAAGAATACAAACGCCTTGCTAAGAAGCATTATGTTTGGCTGTAGGCTGCATAAGGGGAGTAAACACAAAGTACATTTGACCACAAAATGACTTTACAAGCCAGAACTACGGTAGCATGAAGCCAACCGAGGGAATCTAGAATAACATTTTCTATGCTCCTTTCCCTTCCTTGCTCTCTTTCTACTGTAATAGCTGTGATTCACACAGGTAACGAAGAGTATAATTCCCTGATAGAAACACAGCTTCAAGATTAAGCCTTTCTTTAACTACGAAGTTTGTGTGTCCAAAGTTTGTAGTTGCTGTCTGATTTTTGATCACTGATGGTGATAGATATTTATCATCAACTCACAACTTCCCAAATTTTTGAAAAGTCTTACTATTGATGGTTCAAGTAGTAGAAATATAATCTAAAACATCTGAAAATCAAGTTTTCATTTATTAGAATGTAAATAGTAATACAAATTATAATGAAGTATAAAAATTCTTTCTTCACTGAAGCAGTACCATATTGTCCTCTACCCCACAAACACACTACTCCTTCATGGTCTAATGTATTTTACAAGTCCTGTAATTGCTATTAACTCAGACAAGTTTACTTAACTAGAATTTCTCACTTTGTTCTGAGCTTTTGTTATTTACTACAATTTACTTTGAATCACTCAACGATGTCTATTATATATTTTGTTTTCCACGAGAAATTTTTTAATAATTAAGATTCTTCAGAGATAAGAAAATATTTGAATAACTTTGTGCATAAACACATTAAGATGAAATACCCATGACATTATTTTGTGTTTCTGTGTACTAGAGACAAAAACTTCAAAAAACATTTCAATGAATATACATTAAATTAAAAACTGCTTTCATCTTCCTTCAATGCATGAATACCTTCAGAATTCATATATGAAGCCTTAAACATAGACCAAAGATTTGCATAAAATATAATAGCCTTAAAAAATCTTATCTGTAGCCGGCACAGTGGCTCCCACCTGTAATCCCAGCACATTGGAAAGCTGAGGTGGGCAGATCACCTGAGGTCAGGAGTTGGACAGCACCCTGGCCAACATGGTGAAATCCTCTCTCTAATAAAAAGAGAAAAATTAGCAGAGTGTGGTAGCATGTACATGTAGTATCAGCTACTCAGGGGGCTGAGGCAGGAGAATTGCTTGAACTCGAGAGGCAGAGGTTGTAATGAGGCAAGACTGAGCCACTGCACTCCAGCCTGGGTGACAGAGCAAGACTGTCTCAAAAACACAAACAAACAAACACACAAAAACCTAATTGTTCCCATACAAAAAGAAGTCTAGTTCACACTAGATCTGAAGCATACACAATGCCGTGAGACAGGACAGAAATATATTTAACAAGTTCTATTCCCGGTTTCTGTATAAATAAAACTGTTGAATTTAAGCTTTTAAGACAAGTCAAGGAAAAGAGCAAAAAAATGTAAAAGTGAAACTTGAAAGTTCATTTCACCACCAAGGGCTCATGATCACTAGACATTCACAAACTATATATATTGTTCAAAACATTAGTTCTGAATTTTGATCTGAGTATCCCCGGAGTTTCGGTTTCATTCAAGGATGTCCAAGAGGTCAAATAAGACAATGCCATTTGCTCTTTTCAGTTTTCTTCTCTGAGAACAGCACAGCAAACTTCTTCAGAGAAATGAATTGTCCTAACTTCAGAGGCTAAAGGCTCATGAATCATAGTTCTAAGGACATTTATAAACTATAGTGGTGCATGCATGCACTCTGAACTTTTCAGCTTTAAACTCTTGTATAGTAAACATGAATAGGTACAACCTGATTAAACAAAAGCCTTTTTAATCTGACATTATTTTTATTTTTCTTTCTTTCTTCATTTATCAGCAACAGGAGAGTCTAACTAAATGTGGTAAAGTGGTTTAAGGGAATACAATGAAAAGTGTAAAATTAATTAAACCAGAGATAATCATGTCAATGTGGATGCATCTGGAAAATAATACAAAACACACCAAAGAAAGTGGCAGAAAGGTATGTAAAGTGTATAACTCACTCACATACCATTTTAGGACACAAATAAAAAATTCTGCATATTATTTCTGAGCATCACACAATATAGTTAAAGATTTCAAAAGGGCATTGAAATGAAAAACAATCGATTTATGATGTCGGTAGCCTCTATGCAATCATGTTTCAAAAACCTTAACACCAAAAAGTCTCAAAATAACCCTTTTAAAAGACTCTACCAGTTATAAATGAATAAATACTTCCCTAATTTTTAATAATCAAAGATGCCACAAACACACACATACACACACCTATACATACACATACACACACAGTCTGCTCATTGGAACATCTGATTGGCTTCAGATCATCAGTGTAATAACACTAGCAGCAAGTCTCTAAAGTTAAAACAGAAACTGACACGTTAATAAGCAAAGCTCTCCTCTAGGTAAAGATCAGAACTCCAACTAGCACATAACTCACTGGAAATATCCTAGAGTTTCAAAATTCACTGCTTTGAATCCCTGACAAGTATAAAAATTTTATATTGAAAACCTTATGCTATTCAAAACATTAAAACAGAAACATCTGAGTTACAGCTTACATTTTTAAAATCTTTTTTATGCTTCTAAATTTATTTTTATTCAAATGTAGATACCAACAAATAACATTTATGTCAATGAATTAGGGGTTAAGAATAATGTCAGTACTTTCAATCATTTGATGTACTTATTTCCAGCATTCCATTTGTATTGAAAACGTACCTGCTCTCAATGTCTGAACATTCTTTCTTTGTACTGCTCCTTTCACAGCAGGATCTTCCATTTCAGTGCTAGGCTGAAAGGCTTTTAAAAGAAAATGATTCATAAATCATATATATTTTATACAATATGGAGTTAGTGATTCAAAAAATATACATAATTAATTACCTTCAAGGAAGGATGTTTTGCAGGAGGCTCTACAAAGCAAAGGGGATATGTCATCAATTACATGTAAGTATGAGTATGACAGGGCCAACCAAACATTCATGCAGTGTTACTATCAAGCTGAGTTTTCATGCCTGGCTATAAAAATACTTAAGGTTTTGAGGTTCTTCTTGACATCTTTTCATTGCCTAGGACAGCAACATGACAGAAATATGAGGAAAATAGGAATATAGGATTCCTACAACACAGTTTACATTTCAATAGTGAGATTATGTTTCTAATGCCTATACATAAAATAGAAAACCATGGATAGCACCGTGAACACGTGGACTAATGAGGAGAAAACAGACCATTAAACAGAGGACCAAATCAAACCTGAGGGAATCAATGTCAAAGCTGATGGTGAGTGTACAGAGTATTTTCACTCAACACATCAGAGGCATGGCTGCCAGCACACCACAAACAAATTCCCCTGTCCTGTCACTGAGGAATACACAGTTGAGATGACAGTTCGGATGAATGTGCAATTCACCTCTCATTAAAGAGAGTGTTCTAAATTGATCAGCTAGGATACACACTTATGAAATGACAGCTAATCAAAATACTCATTTTTCCCATGACCGCATGGGCTACTGCAGCACCTACGTTTCTCCTATCTCCTCGTTTGGCCTTAAATTAGAGCTCATTGATCCACTCATGCAAGGCAGTCCAAAAAACACACCAAACAAACCGTGTAGAATAAGCTTCCAATATCAAAACATTTATCAAAAAAGAAAACATTGAATTACCACAGACTTGCTGGATACGAATACACTTTCATATTGCAAAATTAGTGCAATATTTATTGAAAATGACAATTTTGGTATTCACAGAATGAATTTTACAATATTATTGCTTCTAAAATTAGCTAAGTTTGGTATATATCTTACACTGTAAAGGATTTTTATAAAACACCTATCATATCAAAGAACTGACTGTTTCGAAAAAAAATTAGCCAAAGTATCTATATGCAACTTAATCACATCTTATTCACTCATGTCAATGAGACGTCTCTCTCTGAGACCTGACAGTTATGAAGTGAGATGAGCTGCTGTGGTTTATCCGAATTCTAGCACTCCCTCCTGCCTCCAGTACTCCCCACAGCAATAACCTCTTTTGTGAGACTGGGTATATGCTGAAGCAACTGGAAGTGAGTTGTCTCAAGTTTACTTAGCTTTAACTCCCAAGACCCCAGCAAATGTCTTTCTTTCCTCCCTCCTTGTCCTTTCACAATCCCTCTTCCTTTGAAAAAGTGATTTTTAGATCTGTCGTGCTTCCCTTCCTAACTGCTTTTTATGGATAATTGTGACCACTGTTTACATCTGTATTCAGCAATAGTATACACCTGTAATCTCTCTTTTCATCTCATTCTCCTTCCCCTATGGCTAGAATCACACTCAGAAATAAAAGGAAATTAATGCTTTCCCTTGATTCTGCTATTTTTAAAATTGCTGTCCAATGGTTCTTTTTCCAGATTTCGCTAAAGGAAGGCTATTCCCTTGCTATTCAGAGCTATGTCCAAGGACCAGCACCAACATCACCTGAGTATTCATGAGAAAGGCAGAATCGATCAGAATGTGCATTTTGCAGAAGCTCCTCAACTAATTCATGAGAATTTGAATGCCCTGTTCTACACTGATATGCTTCCATATTTGTTTACCCTAGTTGCCCTTTTTGGCCTAGCCTCAATTTCTTCCCTATTATGTCCCTGAATTTAATACTACATTATAAGCCATAGTGTTCCTAATGAACTTTTAATCAGGCAATACCTTCTCTAATTAATTTCTTCTCCATAAATCACCCAACACTCTTCTTTTCAATTATGTTAATTTGACCTATATGATACTATCCCATGAGGTTACAACATTTTCTATAAAACTAAATTATAGCCATACATGGCTGACCACTTTTGGTGATGCTCATCTATGGCAGATAAAACACAGGTCTGTGTAGTAAAGTACCTCAATCCTTAATGCCTTCCCAGTAGTGAGGATGACAGCAAGAGTAGGAAAATGTTACTCTAATTCTCTGACACATTTTGGTACTGGCAACTCACTTTATCTTCTTTCCTATTTCTAACACCATGTTCTTCCTTCTTCTACAGAACAATTTGAGTTTACTACCCTCCATTACATACACCCGCATTTTTTTTTAAATTCCATGTACACTCTGCCCTCCTCATTCTTTCTCTTTTATTCATTTCCATTCCCTCTTTCCTGACTTGCCTCAGGTCTTAGAGTATCTTAAAATGGAGCTCGTAACTCAGCTCCTTTAGTGGTACTCCCAATAGAATCAACTGCTGACCCTTGGTTAGAGACACAACTTATCACCATTTTACTTCTCCTTTACTTATTATACAGTTAACGGGACATTTTCTTTAGCTATTCGACTATATTAGTGCTTATATTTTAAAAGAAACATTCCATCAAATGACTTTTTAAACAAAATACGAATCTCACCTTCTCCTTTTGCATTGACTATTCTGTTTCCTTTTTCACGGGAAAGTCCAGGTAAAGGCTCTGACACTTTCTCGGGGACACACTGCTAAGGTAATATCAAGAAAAAGTTTCCATTTTAAAAATTATAATAAGTTGCATCAAGAGTTTCTTATCAATCTCTTTTTATGAAACTGGGTCTCACTCTGTCAAACCAGAGCTAGAACGCAGTGGTATGATTATGGCTCACTACAGTTTCAACCTCCTGACTTCAAGCAATCTTCCCACCTCAACTTCCCGAACAGCTAGAACTACAGGTGCATACCATCATGTCAGGCTAACGTTTTTATTGTTATTTTTGTAGAGGCAAAGCCTCATTATATTGTCCAGGCTGGTCTCAAACTCCTAGGCTCAAGGAAACCTTCTACTTCTGGCTCCCAAAGTGTTGAGATAACCACTGTACACCACCACACCCAGCCCTTTGCCAGGTTTATTTAATCAATTCCTTTAAATAAACCTTAATATTGCCCAGGCATGGTGGCTCACACCTGTAATCCCAGCCCTTTGCCAGGCCAAGGTGGGTGGATTGCTTGAGTTCAGGAGTTTGAGACCGGCCTGGGCAACATAATTAGAACACATCTCTACACAAAAATACAAAAAGGAGTCAGGCTTTATGGTGTGTGCTTGTATCCCAGCTGCTCGGGAGGTTGATGTGGGAGGATCACTTGAGCTTTAGAGGCGGAGACTGTAGTGAGCCAAGATCATGCCACTACACTCCGTCCTGGGCAACAGAACAAGACCCTGACTCCACAAAAATTTCGACTTAAAATGTGAGAAAGAAGGGAGATACAAACAAAAAACAAGCCTAACTGGTCAATGAAACATGAGCTTAAGCCAAGAAAGAAAATAAACAACATGAAATACAATAAAGTAAATGGAGAAACAGATCTATAACAGAGCCTTTTGGTCTTTCATATCCCTAATAATATTAATTAATATTTATGCTACAATTAGTTTTTTGTAAGTACTTCTGTGATAGAGTTTATTACTCTAAGACATTCAATTACTTAAATATGGTCATCTACCACTACCTGAAAGAATATTACTATAACAAAGAGAGAAACCTGGAACTTTCAACTTTCCACCTAGAAAAAGAACTGGTCACCAAAATTCTAAAGAGTCATGTATGGCTTGAAAAGGTAAATTTCATAGAACATGAGTTGGGGCTAATAAAAAGCACAAGAAATGTTTATCTAAAATCACAATGTTAAGATTCCAGTTGAATGATACTTGAAAATACATTGTAATCCTCATTGCTACTGATGACCTATTTCTAATTTATTTCCTTTTTATGTATGGCATAATTTCTCAACATAACACATCAAAACTTACACATTCTTAAATATTAAAAAATAATGCAAATGTAAGCAATATTTTAGAAGTTTAATCATTAGATACATGAGGTATATTATATTACTTATAACCTTGCACTATATAAAAATTCATTTGTCTATTCAGATTAAGCAACTATTAAGGCTGAATGTCTCATGCCAGTAACCCCAGCACTTTGAGAGACTGAGGCAGACAGAACACTTGAGCCCAACAGTTAAAGATCAGCCTGGGCAACAAGGCAAAACCCTGTCCCTACAAAAACTACAAAAATCAGCCAAGCATGGTGACACAGGTCTATAGTCCCAACTACTTGGGTGGCTGAGGTGTGAGGATCACCTGAGCCCAGGAAATGGAGATTGGAGTGAGCCAAGATCTTACCACTGCACTCCAGCCTGGGTTACAGAGTGAATCCCCATCTCAAAAAACAACAATTAAAATGCTTCTTACATGGAAGACTGTATTCTACGTACTCCAGGATACATGCAAATATGTTTACTGACCTCCAGTAGCTCATGGTATTCAGGAGTTTCCAATGATTACTTAAACAACTAAACATAAAAACTTCTGAAACTCAAAATTTCAGAATGTGATATAAGGACTTTGAGTGGTTATTTTATTTCATTTTTTTAAGATGTAGTCTGGCTATGTCACCCTGGATGGAGTGCAATGGTGCAATCTTGGCTTGCTGCAACCTCCGCCTCCCAGGTTCAAGCGATTCTCCCTCCTCAGTCTCCTGAGCAGCTGAGAATACAGGCATGTGCCATCATGCCCAGCTAAGTTTTGTGTTTTTTCTTTTTTTTTTTTGAGACAAGCTTTCACCATGTTGGCCAGACTGATCTCAAACTCCTGACCTCAGGTGATTCCCCCACCTCGGCCTTCCAAAGTGCTGGGATTACAGGCGTGAGCCACTGCGCCTGGCCAAGTAAATATTTTAAATAAACTACAATGACAAAATTATGATGTTAAAAGTCTTACCATATTGGTATTACAAGTCTCTGCTTCTAGAACTGTTTATTTGCAGCAAAATACATGTTATTCAATTAGATGAAGTGTTTTATATAAACTCTTCATGGACAACTTATAAAACACACAAAAATCCCTTTGCGATACAAATTTTGAGAGCATAAATTTAAATTTTTACATTTCCACAATTTGTATTTTTAAGACAGATAGTCTTGTTATGTTGCCCAGGCTTTTCTCAAACTCCTGGGCTCAAGCAATCTTCCTGACTCAAACTTCCAAGTAGCAGGGACCACAAGTCTACACCACCACACTCAAGTGATTTTTTCTGCAATTTTTAATACTATTTTAGTCTCATTACAGAACCAATAATATAAGTAGAGAAACAATCTCTCCTAAAAACTGTATGATACCAAAATTGTAAGTTTCCAAGGAAAAAAAAGCTCTATGCTATGTGCTCAACAATTTTGCAACTAAAACGTCCTGGGGGAGTCCATGATTACTGCAAATAATTTGATCCACTGAAGATTTATACAGGCATAAATATTATGAAAGTCACTCTTGTATGATTTAAAAATCAAAGTGTTAGTATTTATCCAAATAAACCTTAACCAAATTTCATGTTTCCTCTATTGGAGAAAGCATTTCCTAATTTGATTTTCCTGTCACTACTTACTTTCCAGTTCATTTTTTTCAGCTCACACCCTGTCACAGGACTTATCAATCTTTGTTAGTTACCAAAGTTAAACAAATGTTTTGAATCAACTAGCCACATGTATGTTTTTCTCTGACCAACTTTCCATTACCACCATAAAACTATGATAGGTATACCACTGCTAAGTTTTAAAAGTAAATACTATGCAAAACTGGATTCAGAGTGAAAAATAATTTTACAAGAGACCACTTTACCTTAGTAGCAACACTCAAGTCTTCATCATCCGATGCAGGCAATGAATCTACACACAGATCACGGAAAATGCTTGAGAGCAAAAATGTACAATGAAAATGAGCAAGTTGATTTCTTCACAATTTTTTTAAATGCCAGTTTGTATCCAGCTTCCCCCTCAAAAAAGGAAACCATAACCTGGGGAAAGGTCAGTGATCTACATATTAAATAATGATTCTTGATATAATTAAAATATGTCCTCTGTAGTAAAAGATTTTAGTTACCTATTTCTGCCTCCACCTGTCTAAATCTATAAAATATTCAATGAAAACTGACCTTGAGTTCTATAACAAATAGTGACAGTCAATATGTTGGCAGAGCCTGACAATAATTTACCCTCACAAATTATCTCTCCTGAAGCTGAACTTAAAATTCAGTTAATGGGTGACATACATTTTGTTATCTAATCTGGAAGAAAACCGATGACCTAAAACAAGGTAGACAGATCCACTGTCTCTTGTCCATGATCTACCTCTGGTTAAAAGACTAATCTGCATCACTTCAAAATGGCAGTCTTGAGTCCTCAGCAAGGAAACCACTTAAGAAGGTCATATTGCTTTCCTTTGCCCTAAATCAGTACAGGGAATCCCCTGCAATATCTGAAATGTATGAAAGCTAAATGTACAAAAATCAAATAATGAAGGTGTATGTTCTTACTGAGAATACTTTGCCCAGAAAGACTAAAACATTAACAATAATAAAATTCCATTATTTCTACTCTATAGGTCCTGCCTCATTCAGATCCACATAAACTAGCAAGCCCTTAAAGATTTTCATAGGTGCTTAGACACCCAAGGAGAGAGCCTGCTGGAAAAACAGAGTCCTGCTAGTTGTGCCTCTATTTCCCTAAGTACTATCTAAATATCTGTCTTCCTATGGGCTCCTGCTTCCAGATTCCACTTCTGCAAGGCTCCACAGAAGTCTCCAATCTTCAAATATTCAGTCTATGAAAGCACAGATTCCTGAAAGGATGGCCTCAAATGACCAAGTGTAGGAGCCCTCTATATCCCTGCTCCTGAAAAACAAGCTAACTGGAATCTCCATCACCTGCCCCCAGCACAGACACACTACCAAAGTCCCAACTGAACTCCACGAATGATTTGCCAGACAATCATGCCCCTGATCCAGCCTCCATGAACAAAGGAAGGACATCAGTGAATTGGGAAAAGAGGCAGAGGTGAGGAGACCACCTGTCCTGGGCCACAGATCTGTGTAGTTCAGCAGTCTCCAGTCCCTTAGTATTCCAGGGGCTCTACGGCACCCCTCTGTAAGTCAGGATGGAAGTAGATGATGCCACATTTCTATCTGCTGTAGACACTCCTCCCAGTGTCTCAAAATGTTTTAGCATCTTTCAGTAAAAATCTTCCAAGTTTGTCAGTCCTTGATAAATAAAAAAAAAGCAGCAAACTTTTTAGAGCTCCTTTGAATCTATTTTAATGTGCCTTTGTAGATAATTCCCAACATCTTGTGTGTCCGTTATCTTTATAATTTATTGATAAGTGTTTCTCTTCAAACTTGGCCTTCCTCTGCTCATTCCATTCTTACCCACTTTCATTGGGTTCACTAGCTAATTCGACCTTCCTTCTATCCACTGGGTGCAAGAGACTCACTCCCGTTTGTATTATTAAACACACGCCAATAGGATATAAAAAGAAGGAAGAGTACTGGGCTTTAAAATGAGTACAAATCTCATTTCTGCCAATTCCTATGTCTAAAAAAAAACCTAATCTTTTTGATTCTCAAGTTCTCTATCTAAAGAATCACTTCACCAGAATATTCAACACACGTGAAAATACTACAAGGTATTTTAATTCATTCTAAGATTCCTTAAAATTCTGTAATTCTATGTGCTTTTGATTCTGTCTATAGGAAAACTGGGAATACATAGCAGAATTTGAAAAAAATAATAGAATAAAAGAAACACCAAAAAAAGCAGAGAAGAAAGTTTTCAAAAATCAATACAAGATTATGGAAAATTCATGGAAAAAGAAACAAGACTAAAAAATGTATTATGGAAGTAAGCAAAAATACTAGCCTAAATGGAAAACAAAACCAGGAAATCAAATAATTTCTAAGGCTTGCCTAAATTTGATTTTGTAAAACTTACAGTCCTGTGGCCATAGCTAAGTAAGATCTGCCCTAAAGCCTTTGATGGTAAAAATAAGATACTGGTTACCACTGAAATTGTCAAATTTATCAGGACAAACTCTTGGACTAACCACATTCTAATGATAACCTTAAATGAGAGTTGAAGGTATTTAAACTCTCATTAATTTAGACATTAAATTAATGAATCTGATTAATCTGATTCAGACGTATACCTTGATCCAAGGGCTACACAGATGTCTATCAATCTATGCTGAGGAGCAAGAGAAGGGATTTGGAAGGCAGGCAGGTTGATGATCAAAGTGGGCCAGCGACTTTGTTAACTATGGGATCATGAGCCAATTAATCAACTGCTCTAATCCATAGTTGTTTATTTAATAAACAGTAGCTTATAGAAACACAGATGTTGTGATGGCTTTATAAGATGATAAATGCATAGACCATAACAGGATGTCCAGCCCAGACTATGACACTCAACAGATACTAGTTTCTTCCATCTATATTTCCTTAGTTAACATAATTTTTAAATCTATAAAATCCTATCTGACTGCAGATTCATCAGAACTTCCAACATCTATTAAAGAAAAAGGCAAAATGCATTTTAAATCAATCATAAATATACAGAATATTAAAAGCAAAAAAATGCATAGTGATGCATGCCTGTAATCAAAACTACTTGGGAGGCTGAGGCAGGAGGATCACTTGAGGAACCCAGAAGTTTGAGACCAGCTTGGGAAACATAGCAAGACTCTACCTTCATTAAAAAAATTGTGCACACTTGTGTGTATGCTTTAGATCCTGTTGTTGTTGTGTTGTTTTGGTTTGGTTTGTTTTTGTAAAGCACATGACTGATGCTTTGTTACAAAGAATTCCTTTGGGAGCATACCTGGGACCTTATTAGAATTAACATTAATTATACCTATTGGTAGGTAATTAATGCATTAAGAACTGTTACTTCCCTTTGTATTTATTAAAAGCAAAGAAGAATAAATTTATTAAAATTTGGTATCTACAAGTAAACTGCAGTATACAAGTCATCCTAGTCAAACCCTATGAGACTGAGTAAAAATGTTATTGTTAGCGGAACAGGTGTGATGAGTCAACAGTGTCAAAGAGCATGATATCTGGACCAAAACATGAGAGGCAGTTAAAACAGAGTATACAGTAGTACCCCTTATCCACTATATGTGCAGAAAGACATACTTGACATGGTTTTGTCTGCTGTCACGCCACAGCAACAATCATCAACAGAGAAGGCTTCTGTGACCAAATGTGTGGAGAGTTTTTCCCCACCAACAAACAAGCAATCATTTCTGCTGATGACACAATTCAATTTTCACACTCTATCTGCAGATAACATCAGATTTATTTTAATTTATAAATTAAAGTTTATCCTAGATACATATGTGTAGGAAAAAACAGTTTGTGATTCAGTACTACTCGTAGTTCCATGCATCCACTGGGGGCGTTGGAATGTATCTCCTACAGTTAAGGGGGAACTACTGTACTTATTTTGTTATAACACAACACAGCCTCTCTAGCTCTTCAGTTCAAACTGTTCAGTTTAGGATAAAACACCCTATCACCAGAAGCCAGCAAAATATAGGAATCCGATCAGAAACAGGAATCCTTGCGAAGACTTTCCAGCTGCTAGTGGAAAAGAGATCAAAAGAGATCAATGTGTTACTCTGGCTACTACTCTTTGGGGAAGGTGCTGGGTGGTTTACATAGTTGTAGCTATTTGCTCTGCCCTACGTATAACAAGGCCCAAATTCACCTGCCATTTTACCTCCCACAGAAAAACCACTGGAAATACCACTCCTTTAAGAGCTTATCCACTACGAGGCACACCTCACATTCAGAGAGAAGCTTAAGAAACACTGGGGAGGTGTGGCAGGCTGCCAGGCAGTACTATATGACATGAAAATGTATAGAAAGAAAACCATATCAATGCCCTTTTACTACCAGAATGTTCCAATGTTTGCCCTTCTCCCTAGTAAGGGAAAAAAATTCTTTTTCACCTTACATAAAGCAAAACTCTCTTGCCATCCCTCATGACAGAATCTAGTTGTAGGTGAGTCATGTCATTTTAATAGCTTGTTGTCAAACTCATCCCCCCTCAAAGGAAGAGGATCAGTGAGGAACCTATGTATTTACCCTATAGCATTCACTGTCTGCTCTTATTTCTAACCAAAGGTAAGTAAGAAAAACTTTGTGATTCCAGTTTTATAAAGTACAACCCCTGGAACTTGTCCCCTTTCACTGCTAGAGAGTCTATCGGGACCCACCTCATAGAGCAAGAGGCCCCAGTGTGTGCTGTGTGGTACTGCATGGTGTCCTTTTCCTCAACCCTTTCCATTATGTGACAAATACCTATACAAATCATGTTTTCTAAGTATGTAAGGAATATGTCATCAGCATATATCATTCTTTACAATGATAAAGAAGCAAAGGAAAAACAAAAGGACAAAGTACATACATCTTAAATGACTACATTCAATTACAATGGAGCTTTTTTTAACTATTCAAAAAGATACCCAATGTATTATTCCAACTATATGACTCTTCTGAAAAAAGTAAAATTGTGACAACAGAGTAAAGATCAATGGTTGCCAGGAGTTGCTAGGGAGAAAGTGAGAGATGAACAGGCATATCATAGAGAATTTTTAGGGCAGTGAAACTGTTCTGTCAATAATATTACAGTAATAGATACATATCATTACACATTTGTCCAAATTCACAGAATGTACAGCATCAAGAGTGAAGCCTGAAGTAAACTATGAACTTTGAGTGATTAGAATGTGTCAACGTAGGTTCATCAGTTGTAACAAATGTACCACTCTGGTGGAAAATAGTAATAATAGGGGAGGCTACGCATGTGTGGGAGGCATGGAACATATGAGAAATCTCTGTACCTTCCTCTCAGTTTTGCTCTGAACCTAAAACTGCTCTAAGAAATAAAGTTACTGACTTAAAAAAAAAGGTATTCACAGCTGGGCACGGTGGCTCATGCCTGTAATCTCAGCACTTTGGGAGGCAGAGGTGGGTGGATCACCTGAGGTCAGGAGTTCAAGACCAGCCTGGCCAACATGGTGAAACTTCGTCTCTACTAAAAATACAAAAATTAGCTGGGCATGGTGGCAGGCTCCTGTAATTTCAGCTACTCAGGAGGCTGAGGCAGGAGAATCACTTGAACCCAGGAAGCGGAGGTTGCAGTTAGCCAAGATCGTGCTACTGCACTCCAGCCTGGGTGACAGAGTGAGACTCTGTCTCAAAACAAACAAACAAACAAGCAAACAAACAAACAAAAAAGGATATTCATTGTCTATGCATCCCAGGATCTTCCAGAACAAAAATTTAAAAAAAAAAAAAAAAAAAAGATGGCCAGGTGCAGTGGCTCATGCCTGTAATCCCAGCACTTTGGGAGGCCAAGGCGGGTGGATCACCTGAGGTCAGGAGTTTGAGACCAGACTGACCAACATGGTGAAACCTCGTCTCTACTAAATACAAAAAATTAGCCGAGCATGGTGGTGTATGCCTGTAGTCCCAGGTACTTGGGAGGCTGAGGCAGGAGAATCGCTTGAACCCAGGAGATGGAGGTTACAATGAGCTGACATTGTGTCATTGCACTGCAGCCTGGGCAACAAAAGCTAAATTCTGTCTCAAAAATAAAAACAAAAAATAAAGGATATTCACTGAACCTGTTGTTATAATATATTTAAGCAAGACACTGTGACCCTAAAAATTAGAGATAATTGAAGACCAAAGTAACAGCATGTGGTCATTATTTCACAAATTGAAGAATATATGATAAATAAATAAATTTAATTGCATGCATAGGTAAGAAAATATTGATAAAATGATTGAATATTTTATCTTATTTCATAATTCTAAACACGGATTTAGCACAATATGAAAACTAGATTATTCATGTAATCAAAATAAAAGACCATTTTTATTCTAATTTTAACTCGGAAATTATGCTTATTTAACATTTTACTGAAAGATTAATGAGTTAAAAAGGACAGATTATAATTACCTAACATTGCTATGGTAACTTACATGCAAATACCTGTTAGTCACCAAAAGTCAAAAAAGCAACTGGCTTTACAACTTCAGATGGATCATACAACAGAAACTAGTACCAAGTTACCTTATAATATTGAGTGTTACTAAAATGAAATTTTAAAACACCACCAAAGTTTAAGTTGGGGTTATAAGTGTTGTGCAGAAAAGATTTCATATAGCAGGCAAGAGACTGCCATCCTTAGAAAGGCCTGCAGCATGCAAGGCTGGCCCTTGGCTGGTGTTTAGGAAATTGGAATTGGGAGGGTTTCCACCATTCCCTGAGAAGAGTGGCTCACTGTGTTTAAAGTGTTTATAGAAACAGTGCGGTTACTCTGAACAGCTGTTTTCCTTCTAGAAGTCTGGAATTTGGATACCTGTGAGGGAGAGTAACCTCCATATAAAAACTTGGGTACTTAAGTCTCTAATGAGACTCTGGTACTGACAGACATCACTGCACCTATGTTGTCAAAATGTGAGCCTGGGAGAATTAAGCAGATCCTGGGAACTCCACAGGAGAGAAGTCCTGGAGGCTTGTGCCTGGTTTCCTCCAGACTTGACCACTGCACACCTTTTTACTCTACTAATTTTACTTGTCCCCTTTCTTGTAATCAGTTAAAGATCTGAGTATGACTCTTTGCTGAGTCCTGTGAGTCCTTCTAGTGAACCACCAAACCTGGAGGTGGTCTCGGGAAACCGGGACACATATGCATTGTATAAGATTTTTATTAAGTTGATATGATACATGTAACTGTAATCAGATGGCTATTTCACAGAATAACTTTCCCTAATCTGTTTTTCTTTTTTGGCCTTGATGTTTGACTTGGAGATTCTTGTATTTCTATATCTATCCAATTGAATAAAGCCATAAAAGAAATAAACGAAACAATAATGTCACAAAGTAATGTGAAATAAGCAGCAATCCTATTTTAACCAAATAAAAAATAAAGGATCTGGGTGATTGACAATATGTCCTATAATATGAATGTTTCTAGAAAAAAAACAAAAAGGTGGTCAATTTTCTGCAACTCAACTGGGCTTCATTCCTTTATATAATAATTGTGCAGGCCATGTGCAGTGGCTCATGCTTATAAATTCCAGCATTTTGGGAGGCTGAGGTAGGAGGATCACTTGAGCCCAGAAGTTCCAGACCAGCCTGGGCAATATAGTGAGACCTCATCTATTAAACAAACAAACAAACAGAAAACCCTCAAAAAGAAAATTAACCAAGTGTGATGGTGCATGCCTGTTTGGTCCCAGCTATGTGGGAGGCTAAGGTTAAACATGAAAGGCTCATTTAAGGCCAGGAAGCAGAAGTTGCAGTGAGCCAAGATGGTACCACTGCACTCCAGTACCAGCAACAGAGGGAGACCCTGTATCAAAAATAAATAAATAAATAATTGTGTATCAGGCCAGATGTAACTACACAAGACTGTAGGTCCCAGGTACTCAGAGGATAAGGTAGGAGGACTGGTTGAGTCCAGGAGTTCAAGGCTACAGTGAGCTGATTGTACTGCTGAATAGACACTGTATTCTAGCCTAGGCAACATAGAAAGACCCCATCTCTTATAATAATAATTGATTCATTGTGCATCATTCAAGTAAACTGAATAACTGGAGAAAAACATATGACTATTGAATATACTGTAATAGTCTACTACTGATCATAGAGTTCCTGTTTACTGCTTCTAATCTTTTTCTTCGTTTCTTATACAATTAAAAACACGATTCACCCATTAAAGGCAGTTCATCACAAAACAAGTCAAAAATCCAAAGAACTGCATCCAAACTATAGGATGTGTTATCCACTGCTCCCTGTAAACAGTTGGATTTGGTCACTAAGAATCAGCAAGACTTTTAACTTTGTGTGTGTGTATATGTGCATGTGTGTATGTGTATGTGTTTTGTAAAGTATGACAGATAAAACCACTTTGCTTGTGTTAAGAATATGTAATATAACTTGTGCTTCTCAATAAGGAATTGCTTTTCTGTCTTCTGTGCTCAGTAGCTATCTTCAAAAAATAATCTCCTATTTGTATGGATGTATGCTGTTCAGTTTTACATTTCTTATTGCATTTATGGTACCAGAAAGGGATTGCTGAGTTCCCATTTCTAAGATAGTTACTTTCTTAGTGACACAAATCAACATGTAATACAGTTCACCCTTCAACAGCAAGGGTTTCAACTGCAGGGATTCACTTATATGCAGATTTTCTTCTGCCTCTGCAACCCAGAGACAGCAAGATCCACCTCTCCTCCTCCTCAGCCTAATCAACCTGATGATGATGAAGACCTTTGTCAGGATCTACTTATGCTTTATGAAAGGTCAATATGCTTTTCCTGATGATTTTCTTTCTAACAGCTTCATTTCTCCAGCTTACTTTATTGTATGAACACAGTGTATAATAATGCAGCACAAACAAAACAAGTGTTCATCAACTGTTTATGTTATCAGGAAGCCTTCCAGCCAATGGTGGGATATTAGTAGCTAAGGTGAAGGAATCAAAAGTTATACTCAGATCTTCAACTGCACGGGGATCAGAGTCCCTCACCCCCACATTATTCATGGGTCAACTGTAATTCTTTATTTACTAAATATAAAAAATTTATTATAAAAATGAAATAGAAGATCCATTTGTATAACAAGTTCAATTTGTTATAATGTGACTATAGAGGAAACCTACAACATACTAACTTAAAAATCTTTTTTCTTATTTATGCAAAAATATTATATAGGATTGTAGGGATCATGATTAAATAAATGAATTTTTTCAGACAATAATGTTTGAGATTATAAATTAGCTACAACTACCTTCTTAAATAAATCTGAATTTCAAACTAAAGTTAAATTTAAAAAATTAATTTACTTATGTAAATACACATATACACATGCAATTCATACATATTTCTAAACTGGCTTTTTTTGATTAACACTAACTACCTTAATCTTGTATCTTACTTTTCATTTTCTTATCAAGAGTAGGATCACCAAGAGAAATAAGAAATTCACTATCAGAAGTCTTACCTGGATTACCATTTTTAAGTATTTTCTTTTTAATGTTCCAAAATTTGTTGTTTAATTCTATGTATACGAAAGTAATAAAATTGCTATTTTAATACTGAAATAAAAAATATTTACCAAACATATTAAATTCTAAAACAATTCAGGCAATATCAGACCTAATATCAGAATTTTAATGTCCCATACATTTCAAATTTTTTAACCTTACAAGCTGATTAAGCTTATAATTAAAGAAGAAAAAAAGTGAAGTACTCATAAATGGAGGAAGCACAGCTCAGTAAATTAACTCTAGTTAGCAGGACCTCATGCAAAGTGTCCTGCACTCAGAATAAGTCCTCGCTCTGTAACCAATAGGTATTCTGTTTACAGACAAGTTGCTTCTCGTAGGCTCCATGGTTTCTTCTAAAAAACAAGGATTTTGCTACCTACCTCACTAGGTTGTTAGGAAGATGTAATGAGATTACATGTTTAAATGTTCAGAGAAATAGTAAAACAATGGAATAATTTATTCTTGAACGTTATTGCTGAAACAATTTTTGGAATCCCAAATAAAGCTCAGTGTGTGTTTTTCTATAAGTCTTAATATTCAAATGTTGCAGTTTTCAGAAAATGTTATTAAGTGCTAATTTTGGTTATTAGTTGGATTCATTGTGGCTTGTAATTCAGGGCATTTTACCTAATTAATAACTTATTACTAATATATATACACACACATATATATACATATATACACATATATATACACACACACACATATATATATGATGTCATTAAAATAGATTATCTAATTGTCTCCTATCACTGAGCTCATCAATCACACCAAGGGCAGAAAACTAATAGGTATCAAAACTTGGCTTGGACAACTACCACTCCTTCTCTATCTCCTCAAACTCGGAGCCAGCAGATCTGTGCTAGGATGCTGGATCTCCATGGTCCTCTCCAACTAACAGACAAGACAAAACCCTGCTTTGATTGTTTTTCAGATCCATGAAGGAAACACAAGCTGACATCTTCTCATTCCCAAGACATGTACTAACAACATGTAACATTCCCTTACTACTCAACTCTTTTCTCATTTCAGAGATCACCGTACATCATTAGTTTCATACTGATAATCACAATTTCAATATTGGGTGTCTCCTGTTTTGATTTCACTCACACTACTTCCTTGGAGCTACTCAACAAACAGTCAAATGACCTTCCTGGGGCTATGCAAAATATGGAATGCTTTCTGAATTTGTGTGCCATCCCTAGGCAGCAGCCATGCTTATCTGCTCTGTATTGACCTAATTTTAAAATATGTACTGCGGAAACAAGTACAAGGTCCTGTTTGATACATGGATACTCATGAGTCATGGATGAGGCTTAGCTCTATTAACTCCAACTCACTTAACTTTAGATTCAGAGAATTTTATTGAATGGCTTCCTGTGAGGCAGAATTTTAAAACATATTTAAAACTTGAGAAAGAGTTGCGATTAGCCTAGGAGATTTTCATTATTATAAAGACACACTACTTGACGGGCCAACTGCAAGTTGGTTCCCACTACTCGCTGGAAAGGTAACACGGAACCTTCTGCTATCTAACCTAAGCTGCTGCACAGGATGTAAAAAAGCCTCAAGGTACCGATCTGATAGCAAAAGGGAAAGGGAGCTCTGATCTTTTCCTGCAACATTATTTGAACATCCCTGACTGTTGAGAACAAGTCCAACTAATATTGGTTAAAGAAAAGACAAACATGGCTCTCAAAGGATAACATACCATGAAGGCCTAGGCTAAGTCTAGCTAAGAGGTGGGCTCCAAATAAGGTTTTTAGTGTAGGGCAAGCATCAGCTTGCTCAATGTTTGTGTGGGTAAAGCTAGGAGGCCTAGCTGCCAGAGCAGGGTGCTGGGGACAATGATTGAACATAAATACATAAACTAATAAACACTGTAGCTTTGAACTCTATGTATGAATCACCACGAAAACTGAGGGGTCTGAATCAGTGATGGCATTCTGGTGGCAAAGGTCAATCATTATCAGATTGTAGGACCAGTTACAATGGCAACAATACAGCAAGTGAGTCCGATCATTCTGGAGACAACAGAATGATTAGAATGGCCTTTTTCCCCTTCTTCTGATTAGTGAAGAAAGGTTGCCTTCCTCAGACTTAAGAAAGCCCTTAGCTTCTTGGAAAATTCAAAGAAGGAAGACACAGGGGATAGCCCCAGGGGACAATACAAGATTTTCTGCTCAATTGGACATTTCGAGATCCAACAACTAATTAGAAAAGTCAGGCCAGGCATGGTGGCTAGCACTTTGAGAGGCCGAGGCAGGAGGATTACTTGAGCTCAGGAGGAGTTCAAGAGCAGCCAGGGCAACAGAGCAAGACCTTGTGTCTATTAAAAAAAAAAGCAAAAGAAAAGAGGTCAAAGATGTGGCTCCTTTTATCCCATGCATGGGGATTATACTTAGAATAAAATGAACAACATTGAGATTCTTAAGGACAAAGGTCTTACAAATCCTGAAAAAAATCTTGCCCTCTACTTCTAACTAATCTAGATTTCTGCTTGATTTCTGGCTAAAAGGTAAAACTCACTGCTATTTCAAACTACCAGAACCAAACTATGAACTCTCACCTAATGTATAAGATGGAATAATTGCAATTGTTTTAAACTTCCATTTAGTATTAACTGGTCTTTTAACATAAACCCTTATTTTGTCAACCCACGAGAAAGAGCATAACCTTCTGCCTCTCGTCCACACGTCTTGAGTGAAGACATTAATATTTTGCTTAAGAAGGATGCTGACAATACCTGGTGAGTCATAGTGCACAGCAAGCGTGAGGGTTGTTCTAAAATAACAAAGAAATAACTCCACTCAACAACTTTAATAAAGACTTTTTTAAACAGCTAGTTTGATACACTTTACTATTTTAATATCTGCCTGTCAGTGTAGACGTAATAACCATTTGCATGTACTAGCTTGAGTCTATAAGCAACTAGGGTGCTCAAGTGTTCATCTTTGTAAATTATCACCAAGGCTAAAAGGAAGGGACAACAAGGAATCCTCTTGTCCCACAGGGGTATGACATAATACAACTTGCTAACTTATAGTCCTCTGGTGGCCAAGAAATTGTGCTGGGGTCACTTATCTAAAGTAGGCAAAGATTTAGATGAAGATTTCCCATTGCTTTCCTAGTCTGATATATTATAATTCAAATCAGCTAGGGGTCAGATAAGAGTTATCTGCAGGCGGAAAACAACAACAACAACAAAAACAATAATAATGACAATACTAGTAGTCGTAAACTAAAAGTCCACACCTTAAAAATTAATAAAACTGGCCAAGTGCAGTGGCTTACGCCTGTAATCCCAGCACCTTGGGAAGCCAAGGAGAGCAGATCACGAAGTGAAGAGATTGAGACCATCCTGGCCAACATGGTGAAATCCCATCTCTACTAAAAATATAAAAATTAGCTGGGTGTGGTGGCGTGCACCTGTAGTCCCAGCTACTTGGGAGGCTGAGGCAGGAGAATCACTTGAACCTGGGAGGTGGAGGTTGCAGTGAGCCAAGATCACACCACTGCACTCTAGCCTGGCAACAGAGTGAGACTCCATCTCAAAAAAAAAGAAAAAAAAATTAAGAAAACCAATACAAAACCCTTTAGCTAATAAAAGATTACACTAGCAAAAACATCAGATTATAAATAACAAACACTCTGTATTATAAGAAAAGATGAATTCTACTACATACCGTTCTTTATGTTACTCAGTTCAAATATTTGCTGGTCTACCTGATTCTTCATGGTGGTATTTTTCACTATATGACAATAATTATATTAATCTTATTAATATTTCTGACTTGACTGTTACCACTCTAGAATATACAGGTTTTTATTTAAAAAAAAAAAAAAAAAGAACTACTGTACCATCTCAGCTTATCAACGGCATGTACATTTGCTTTGTTTTTCAATAAAAAATCTACCATTTTCTCTTTCTTGCAAATTACAACAAATAAAAGTGGGGTATTATTGTCCTATAAAACAGCAGAAAAAATTAATAATTCACAAAATTACGTATTTCTCAACTGAATTGAAAATCTTATCTAAGGTGCTTTGAACTTCAACATGCAGTATAGAAAGCAAGTAAATGAAAAGCAGGCCCTTCCTTCTCACTCCTCTGCACTTTCTGATGTGCTGCTCGTTGCCTTGCAAACAACCCTCCTCTGTCTCCCCAGATTAACTGTGGTCATTACCAAAACTCACTTTAAACATTTACCAGTCCCAAGAATCCTTGCTTTGATCACAGCACTTAGCATGGTACATTGTAATCATTTCATTGTTTCCCACTGAAACCAAGAGCTTCTTGAGGGCAAAGGCTGTATCTTTTGTCTCTATAGCCCCAAAACCCTAAGACATAGTAGCAAATATTTTGGGTTTTTTACATAAATTAATGATCTAAATTATTCTCTCTAAAGCAGTGTTTCTTAAACTATATTCCAAAGAATATTTGCTTTACCAGAAGTATACCCCAAGAGAAAGACTCCATGACCATCTGCATTTGAGAAATATTACAAAACTGTATTTTATGTCCAATAATCAAGAAATCTCTTGAATGTTACCTAATCCCCATTTGATAATACTATTTGTGGCAAACATTAACATTTGAGAAATTAAGAGTTTCAGAGAAACAGTTGCCAGAGCTCCCCATTACAGGTGGAGGTTTCCTCTGGGTGGTACAAACTTGCTTGATTCACTTCTATCAGTGGTGTCAGGATCCCAGATGCCAATGTCAGGCACTCCTGCTCCAAATGGTCACTATCAAAATGAGCTCTGAATTAAGAGAGACTGGCTTCAAATGCACTTATTTTCCTTATTATTAAATAGTCCGTAGATTTTTTTCCTAATACAAGAGAATAGATTTTTATCTTTACTTTTAGAAAGCTCAGTATGTTCTGTGTAAGAGAGATAGGTTTAAAAAACTTAAAAACAAATACTTAAAAGACCAAAGCTCAGTAAGAAATACTGTTCTCAATTACAATGGTAATCCCGGCACCCTAATGCAGTTCTACTTTTTAAATCCATTTTTATTGGCTTCCACTTAAATGGCTATTTAAAATTATTTTTTATTTTAGGGAAAACATAAATCAGAAATAAAACATAAGTGCTTGTCAATAAAAGTTCTCTTACTGATCCATACGGATTATTTCTAGCATAATGAAAGCCAGTAAGTCACTTGCATTTTTAAGGAAGAGTGCTGAGGAGAAAGATGTAATGTCTGCAATATTCATAAATTATCCAACTATAACCAGGAATAACCTAATAAGGCTTCTAGGCATTCTTATGCGAAGATGACTATTTGTGGTATATATAAAGAAAAGAGTTTTAAAAACTTCTAAAATTCAACTCCATAACTGAGGGATTTATATACTCTATAGACTACATATTATAAACAAGCACATGCTGACTTAAAAACCTTGAAGTATTTATCAAAATATACTACAACATAAGAGTTGTAAAGTCAAATACTTACAATGACAAAGGAAAGTCACCTGAGTAAGGGAAGTACTGAGGTGGGCACAGTAGCAAACTGGAGAATACACGCCTTCTACAAAGGGGCAACCTCTGAACAACAGACCAAACAGTGATAAAAACTCAGGGGACACCAGATTTGACTTTTTAGGATAAGCCTTAAGTCCAGATTTCTACACAAGTCTTCTAAATTTTACATGTTGATTCAACTTATACAGGCAACCAAATCTGTGTACCACATTAGAATATAGCCCTAGTGTTTTTATATTTGCTATAAATGTATTACTAAATGGTTGTGTATAATCCAAGTATTTGCATGTAAAATATTTTCTTTCTCTAGTGTCATGTTTTACTAAAAATTCAGGCTCTCATATATAATAAAAATGGTTAAAAAGACTTATAATACTTGTTTTAAGAATTTTTCCAACATTTATTCATTTAAAATATATTGGTATATAATTTTCCCAGATTGTTAGCCAAACAGATCATCGGTTCACAGGACTGCTAAAACTAAATTATTGTAAGAATTCCTACCTGTATTCTTATTAACTTTATGGATTTCAGTGTTTAAAACTGACATTTTGGTTATGCTAAAGCTCTATAAACTTAACAAACATACTGAGATAGTTCGTAATACAACTTCAACCAAAAAGAAATAGTTTAGGATTTGCTACTATTCTAACTGAGAAAGCCCAACTTGTAATGAATATTTGTTGACACATAATCACCTGCATGGTGACAAAGGGACATCAAATCCTGAAAGGGTCAGCCCCTACCTATTGAAAGATTACCCATAAGCAAATTTCTAAAGACTCTCTGAATGGTAGTGAATGATTAATGGTGGGAAGGGAAAGGTGTTATTCTATAAGTTGAGAGATATTGCCAATACTATTTCCCTTTCACATCCCAGTCACAGATGTAGAGAAAGACAGATAAAGTCTTGAAAAGGAGATTGAAAAGGAAAACTTTGAAGGAAGTAGCACCTATCAAACACAAACTCTTCTAGAGATTTCTTACATTTTTGAAATACAGAAATTTATATATTGCACTTATCTATTCTGGGGTTCTTAATCAGGAGTGTATACAAACCCTTGAGGGTTTTTTTTTTTTTTTTTTTTTTTTTTTTTGGCCGTTGCTGTTAGAGACAAGAGTCTCACTATGTTGCTCAAGCTGGACTCAAACGCTCAGGCTCAAGCAGGGACTACAGGAACATATCACTGTGCCCAGCTTCGAGAAGATGTTTTTAAACAGGTTCAGGCCTTATTAGGTCTATTACATCAAAATCCTCAGGGGAAAGCCTACAATTGTAGATTTTTAACAAAATGTCCTCAGGTCACTGTAACGCGCAATTCTGAGAATTAGTGCGGCAATCACTTCAGTCTCATCTCTCACTTGCATGGCTAATTCCCTTTATCAGTTGGACATGTAGCCAAAAAGAGAAAAGAGTAAGAGATGGTGTCATTTATTAAAGCTCCAGTTAAGTTTCCTGGGTATGGGTAGAACAGGGACAAGTAAACTCAAATTCCTACTTGATTTTGCTATTTATAAGCTCCTTATCTCCCATCTTCCCACCAAGACATACTAGATTTGAGAAGAGTCTTTAGACTCTTATCTAAGTGGCTGTTTCTGCCAGGATGGGCAATAAGTCAGTTAATAATTTGTTCCACCTTCTGCTGAAGTTTTTCTCACTTTGTCAACATATATTCACTGCCAATCTGGTTTCCTCAGACTCCTCCTAAAATTAATCTCCAGGCAAGTTTCAACTCACTCTCATTTTCAAGCCAAAAATTATTAGACCCAAAACTAAAGAGCACCTTTGTCTCAACACATAAACTAGAAGAACTTAAAAAAAAAAAAAAAAAAAAACTCTTCCTGTCATTTTCCCTCATTACCTAACTTCCAAGTGACCTGCATATTTCTGATTGCTCTCCTTTTCCCTTCCTATGCTTCCCTCTTAAGCCTTGTGCCACTGAGAAATGATACATCAGATTTTCAGAAAATTATCAGCAGGAGCAACATGTCCATTTACTGTAAGTTGCTTTAGTTTTGTTTGAGTTTTAAGATAAAGCCTATTTCCAGGGCATATTTTCTTTCCTGTGTTGTTTTATACTAATTAGGAAAAAAAAAGAAGGAAAAGCATAACCCTGTGTAGGAAACAGTGAAAAGGTTTTACCTTTAACAAATTCACAAATATTTTCCAAAGTGCATTTTATAAAGCTGTGCCCCTTAATGATTCTTTCAAAAGATCAATATTTAAAATAAAATCTTAGACAATTAATTATTTCAAAATAACTTAATTTGCATTTGCTTTCAGGGAACGGTTGAGCTTCCAAATATAAAAAATTGACCCTTACCTATGTCAATGTTAAAACAAATATTTTGGAAAGAAAGTTGATTGAACTATACCTTGTCCAGTGCTTCAATATTTGCACCATGTGAAAGCAGTTTTTCTGCCAGTGAGGTGCTCTCACTACACACAGCATAATGGAGAGCAGTGTTGCCTTAGATATCCTTAAGGTCTGGATTGGCGCCATGTTCCAGCAGAATAACGGCACAAGCCTCTTCCTGGCAATGGACTGCCTGTTCATATTAGACCAAGAAATAGATTGTAAATTCTAAGAAATCAAAATACACATTTCACAGGTTTCACCAACTAGTTATATTTAAATGAGATCAATTTATTTTAATTCTACATGTGTACATCAAATCCATGTCATGCTGAAAGTGTTGGCTCTAATATACCTGTATCAAAGGCGTTCTGTTTTCTTTGTCGCAGATATCAGTCTGGCATTTTCTGTTAACCAGGAGAGTGACCACTTTCACATGGCCACTGGCACAGGCCAAATGTAGAGCAGTTCTACAAGAGTAAGAGGACTTTTTAGGAAACTGTAGTGCAACATCTCAAAATCTACCATCATTCATGTCATTGTAAAAATTGAATAGCATGTTTTTCCTCTGCTTTCAAAACAAATGATATTTTTTGAAGAAAGTACAATACTTACTAGCTCTTATTGCTCACTGCCTTAATGAAAACAGCAGCCTATTTGAATAGAAAGAGCTCAGGCTTTGGATTCAGTTCGACTAGGGCTTGAGTCCTACTTTAAACCCTGTCACTTACCAACTATTGCTTAGCCTTTCTGTGCCTCAACTTCCTCATTCATAAAGATAATAGTAGCCATCTCATAGGACACCATCCTGAAGGCTAAATGAGAATCTATGTAAAGTATTTAGAATAGTTCCTACAATAGCTTAATAATTGAAACATTTTTGTTTATTGAGACAAAGTCTCACTCTTTTACCCAGGCTGGAGTGCAATGATGTAACTATACCTCACAGTAACCTGGAATGCCTGGGCTCAAGTGATCCTCCATCCCCAGCCTCCTGAGTAGCTGGGACTACAGATATGCACCAGCATGCCCAGCTATTTAAAAAATTTTGGAGAGTAAGAATCTCACTTTGTTGCCCAGGTTGGTCTCAAACTCCTGGCATCAAACAATCCTCTCACCTCAGCCTCCCAAAGTTCTGGGATTACAGGTGTGAGTCACTGCACCCAGCCAGATATTATTACTATTACTACTACTTAACAAACACATTTTAATTAGGTAAAATGATACAATTATACCTACTTTGCAGGATGGTTTAAAGAGTAGGTAACCTTTTAACACCTCTGACATGGGAATGCCACTTACAATCCATGATTTATTATAAATAAAATTGGTAGCATTTTAAAAATTATCTTATTGATACATAAAATAACGGGGCATCACACAATCCGTGAGAGCTTACATTAAGTAGAATATGGTAACTCAGGTCTAGGGCAGTTCCAGGCATGTAACTAAAACTTAAATACATTTTAGTTCTTAAAGGGACTATGGGAAAAGAGCACTGAAATAATCATGCATTTTTTTAAACAAATTATTTGATTTTCAAACAACTTGAAGCCAAAGGAAACTCATGATTCAAATGAATACATGTATGGCTCATTTTATTCAATACTTACACTTACAGAATATATGCAAATAAGACTTTCCGATGATTAATATTAGTATTTAAGACTGACAAACTTTTGAAAGGGCAGTTAAAGGTTATCTTCTACTATTTTCTAACTTCAGAAATGCTTTTGTTTCAAAGGTGGGAGATAAAGTTTCAAGGAGATTCAGTCCCAATATTCCTATTGTAAATCTCTCAGCTTGCGCAGGCAGGGCAGGTAAACATGAAGTTTTTAAGGATAGAAGGGTCCTGAAAGATAATAGAATATGTCTGCTACATAACAGGTACTCAGGTTATGTTTCACGAATAAATCAAATGAAAGAATGGATAAATACAGTTGGGGAGTTCAGTATTTTTAAATAAACTCCTATAAAGTAACAATTTTGCAACAGTAATTATTTATATGTATTTTTATTTTTAAAGAATACAATTAAAATGAAACGATTACTCTATCATTGTTTGCATAAATGGAATGAATGTATAAGAAAAATGTACATAATAAAATATATAGATAAAATCTGGAAACAGATAAAAACATTCCCATTTTACTTCTGAAAAGGCTAAAAGTTCAAAGAACAATACACACAATAACGATAAAAAATAGAAAGTGAGAAATTATTTTTATCAGTGCAAGATTCATATTCCTCTCTTCCCAAGGATTATTCCATTAATAATAAACTTTTACTACAATTTTGTACATGCTCACTGCAGTAATCACAGATAAGAAAAAGGAAAAAAACTTTACTTTAAAATACAAATGCTCAGAAATTACAAGTTTTTATTTTGTACGTATTTTTTTGCTAAAACAAGACCATAGTATGTTTGTGCAAATGTATAATTTAACTGATTTTTTTCCTCATTAGCTATAAAAATACACATCTTCACACATCAACGTACTTCTGTATCTATTGCCACCTTCAATGGTCACATATTTCATCCAATGGATGCAACTGAAATTTATTTATAGGATCCATTCTATGGGTCTTTTTAAAATAAGTGCTGTGAAAAATAAAGTGCATGTATCTTTATTTCCTAAGGGTATTTTAGTGTAATGGAATTGATGGGTAAAAGGCATACACATTTTTTAAATGTACTTACCACCAAATTATCTATTTGAAAAGTAATCAGCAACTTAAACTTTAAGCAGGAGTATAAAACAGCCTCACAAATATTGTGGATAAAAAACTGTTTCATTCCTCTTTTATTTCAATTCTTATACCAGAAATGCAAAGGACTTTTTCCTATGTGCATAAGTAACTTATAGATCTGGAGAAACGTACTTTGCCCAATTTTAGAGTTTTTAATGATTTGATTTGAAATAATTCCCTGTAAAATGAAAATGTACTTTTCATCTATATATATATAACTTTTCATCTAATGTGTATATATAACTTACATATATAACATCTATAATACATATGATATAAATATCAGTAATATATATCATATAACATATAATAATATAGGCCATGCACGGTGGCTCATGCCTGTAATCGCAGCACGTTGGGAGGCCAAGGTGGGCAGATCACTTGAGGTCAGGAGTTCGAGACCAGCCTGGTCAACATGGTGAAACGTCCTCTCTACTGAAAATGCAAAAATTAGCCAGGCATACTGGCACCTGCCTGTAATCCCAGCTACTTGGGAGGCTGAGGGAGGAGAATTGCTTGAACCCAGGAGACAGAGGTTGCAGTGAACCAAGACTGTGCCATTGGACACCAGCCTGGGCAAAGCAGCGAGACTCTGACTCAAAAAAAATTAAAAAAAAAAGGAACATAATGAATTCCCTATAAAATGAAAACATACTTTTCATCTGAATATATATATATAATAAAGACAATATTTTTCACATAAGCTCTCTTTCATTTCGTTAATTTGTCTTCCGAAACACAGGCAGTTTTAATTTTTAGTTTGCTAAATCAACCTTCAGAATGTCTGCTTAAGAGGTCATTCTCAGGAAGGCCTTTGTCAACATAAAATGTTCCTGTAAAATAAGCTTTTGTGTTTTCTGGTACTTTACTAATTTGCATATGTAAAAAATTCAATCTGCATTCCATCAGGAACTCATGCTTGTGACATAAAATTTCATTAGTTTTCTTCAAACAGCAGGCATTTTTTCATTAATAATTCATCCTTTCCTACTCATCAATCTTTACTTCTATCTTACACAATTTCAGTGTTTCTGGGTTTCCTACTCTGTTCCATGCGTTTGTCTTTTCAGCTGTCAGTAAACGATTTATTGTCGAAATTACAGCACATTTTGCTATCTAGAGAAGTGTTTTTTCACTCCATTATGAGATTTTTAAAAAATGTCCTCACAATAGTGAAAGACAGCAGGTGTCATACAAAAATATTAAAACCTTGATATTTTCATTGGGTCTATGTAAAATTGATAAACACAGAAAGGGCTCACATTTTGAGAAAAATGTGCCTTCCCATTCAAGAACACAGAACCCACCTCCCACTTTCAAGCTTCTCTCTAAGAAACTTCAGTAAAGAACCTACCTACACAGGTGGATACGGCTGTAAAACGGTCAGTTTTATCTGAGAACTTTTCACCTACTGAAAATAACTCACAGTATTTTTGATAGGGGAATGAGTTTTCTCATTAGGCACCTCCTATAATGTACATAAACCATGTTTTAAAGGAGTTCGTTAAAAATAACACCATATATGCTTAACTTTGTGAGTTAAATCACTCAAATTCTCCACCTACTCCAGCCAGGGAATTATGAGGGATGGAAAACAGCTGAGGGCCTGTTTGGCTCCGCCACTGGGAGGGTGCCCGGCGCCCTCCAACGCCCAGTCCCAGGGGCTGCGGGGAAGCCGGGCCTGGGGCCCCCCTCCAACCCGGGGCTGAGCCCCTACTACCTGTGCTGCTTGTCCAGGGCGTCCAGGTGTCCGCTCCTGCGGGCCAGGCAGCGCTCCACCTCCGCCGCGTCACCCTTGACAGCCGCCCTGTGGATCTTCTGCAGTTTGGCCTCCCAGACTCGGTACCCTCAACCCGTGTAGTCGTGGTCTATGGAGCCCAGGACCGTCTGGCGCCTGCGGCTCCCGAAGCTGAACAACCTCATGGTGGTGACTTCTCAGACCCCCAACCACCGGCTCTCGAGCGGGGGCAGCTTCCTGTCACCTTTTCACCAGGAGCCCCTGCCCCCGCCGACCCAGCCCCAAATCCCCTATCCAACCCCAAGTCCCGATCCAACTCCAAATCCGCGATCCAACCCCCAGTCCGCGATCAGAAATCTATGATATACTCCAAAATCCGCGATCCAGCCCGGTCCACCACAGCCTTCAGCAGGGACACTCGCAGCCTCCGACCTCTCAGACCAAGTGAGCTTCGCAAAGACGTTGGGCGCGCGCCTTCACCGCGGTGGCCGCTGGCTCCCGGAAGTCACTCACAGGTGGCCCGCGCGAGCAGGTGGGGCTGCAGCTCTCCGCGGGCGCCACCAGGCTCGAGGATTCTCCTGGGCTGGCCTGGGCGGCCCCAGGATAGCACGCGTGCAGCCAGCCCGGCCTGAGGAGGAGGAACTGGCCTTGCAGCCCGCACGGCTTCTCCTCCGAAGGGAGATAGGGTGCTGGCAAGAGTACTCCCGGCCACCTGAGTGGCTTCGCGGATGGCCTGGCTTCCCGTTGAGGCTCTGGCCCTGGAGTCTGTGTGGCTAGTGTCGGGTAGCGGGAAAGCCATGGAGAGTCAGGAGCTGCTCCTTCCCCCACCCGCCGTCACCGCTGCCAGTGCCCCACGAATGGTTTGCAGCTGCAGATCTGGCACTGGCAGGAGATGGCGGAGCTTCCACTAGATGGCGTCAGGGTCGCCGAGTGCACAGCCTACCTGGCCTGAAGGTGAGCTCCTCTTGGACATCTCTCGGGATCCTGGGCCCTGGCACTGGGCACTCTGTATCCACACCGATGAAACAGCAACCGCTGGTGGGGCCGATGGCCTGACTTTGCCGCCTGGGTGTCTGGCCTCAGGATTCACGCTACTGGGGGGCGGGCCTGGTCTGGAGTGTCCAGTCACTTGCTGCCTGTGCACCACGTCTAGGCTGCAGGTGCGGCTCCGATGCCAGTGGGGGCTGGCAGGCCTGGTACCTGACGTCCTCAGGGTCATGTTCATCGCAGGTGTGCTCTGACTTGGCCTCCTCCAAGAACGAAGGGGCTGCCGAGGCGGGCTCTTCGTGGTAACTGGGATGGTATTAACCAACAGGTTCCCACCCTGGTGCCGCTGCTGTGCGGACTGCCTGACTTGGGACCCAGGCACTGGCCCAGGGTCCGCGCGGCAGGTGTGCGGGTAGGGTGGGTGGTGCGGAAGGTCAGGGGTTGCTCCGTCATCTCTGCTTGTGTGCAACTTGCAGTTCTGCAGTTTTCTGCAACCGCTGAGGCACTGGCGCGGGAAAGCGGAATTCCCCTGGATAGCCTCAAAGTTGCGGACACAGAGCACAGCCCAGCAGGCCTGAGGGTCCGCTCCTTTTCCACGTGGTCTGAAGCCTGACCCAGATGCTGAGCACTCTGCCTGGGTGCGGATAGGGCTGACTGATTGGTTGCAGAGTGGGCCATCTGGCTTTACCACTGAGGCATCTGGCCCCAGGATCCGTAGGCTGAGGTCGTGGGCTGGGGGTGGCCAGGCAGTTGCTGCCCACATGCAGGTGGCAGCTGCAGCTTGGGCACCTACGGGGATTGGCGGGGCTGGCACTTGATGATCTCAGGGTCGCCAAGTGCACCGCCTGCCCAACTGAGGATCTGTTCCTCTTTAGCCCGAGCCAACAGCGCAGAGGCCATGATGGCTCAGTTTCTCCGTGGAAACTAGGATGGGGTGGGCGGCCAGTTCCCGTCCTTTGGCCGCCTGGCCAACTGCCAGACTTAGCCGCTGCCGCCCAGGCATCTGTATCTGGGGTTGCCTCTACTTGGGTAGAAGTGAGGGTCGGGGTGGGCGTGGGGCATCACCGGTTGCCAGGCCAGCATTGTCTTTGAAACATATTCAGATGGCGGCGGCACCTGGGCAGAAACTCAGACCCAGTCAGCCCTCCCACCCAAGTGCCGGTTCCGGATCCTGATGCCTCCACCCACACCACAGAGCCGTGCCCACCGTGGTGTCTGCTAATCCGTGTCCGGCATGCCTAGGGGTCCCAGACGGTCTCCGCAACACAGAGCGAGAGAGCTCGGGCCGGGGAATCCAACGCGAGTATGAGGGTCTTGCCGCGCTCAGGATTCCTGCCGAAACGCTGTGCACTCGCTGCGCTCCAGGAACAGGAGCAGGAGGTGGTCAGGTCGCCCTCTAGAGTCTGGAGGTCCAGGGAAAGGAGGAAGACTCCTTCCTTGGAGACCACTGCTGTTGCTGCAACCTCTGCCGCCACCGGCAGGGCACCCCCCGATTGTGCCCCTAACGAGCCGCCTGCTGTTGGTCCCAGGACAGCGCCCCTAACACCCTCCCTTCGCAGCTGCAGTGTAGAACCCAGTAGCCCCCCAACCTGTACCCGCGTCGGACGTTGCAGCACCAGATAACTCCCCCAAACTGCCCCCTACAGTTTGGGACACTGTACTGTCACTGATGGGACCCCAACCCATCCCCCCCGCGCTGGGCAGTGACGTCCCAGAAAGCGCTGCAACCTGCTCCCCGCAGTGAATAGTGCAGTCACAGATCCTTAAGGCCCCCAACTCGCTCCCCACAACGGGCTGTGCAGCCCCACATAGCGGATAGCACCCCCAACTATCCCCCAACCACAGGGAATGATGCCCTGAATAGCGTACCCCACCTGCCCCCCCGCGGTGGGCAGTGTAGCCCCCCACAGCACCCCTAACCCCTATGCTGTTGCCCAGATATGGTCCCGACAGCGCACCAAACCGGGCCCCCACCACAAACAGTGCAGCAGCTGACAGAGCCCTTAAGTCGCCCCCTACTGACCGCATTGCAGCCCACAACCCACCCCACCACCCCGCCTGCCACTGGCGGGCGGTATCGCCCCCAAACTGCCCCGTGCACGGGCAGTGTAACCCCCAATGGCGCACCCAACTCTCCCTCTATCATGGGCAGTCTGGCACCCGATAGCACCCGAAACCACCCCTCCAAGAACCTCCCTGCACACACCCCCTTTCCCACCCCCCCAGGCAGTGTAGCACCAGATACTGCCCCTAATCTGTCCCCTGCGGTGGGCAGTGCAGCCCCGGATAGCACCCTCACCCCACTGTGGGCAATGAAGCCAGACCAGTCAGCACCCCATCAGTCCCCCCACCCCCACGCCGCCGGCAGTATAACCACAATAGCGGCCCCAACCCACACCCTGCCATAGGCAGTGTAACACCCAATAGCATTCCCAACCAGCCCTACTGCTGCTGTAATGATAAAAGTTGGAATGTCTTATGTGTAAATATATATAACTGTATGTTTGATTGTTTTAAAGATAGTTCTAGAGTAGGAAAAAAGGACAGTTAGAAATTTAACTTGAAACCACTGGAGTGCCTGAGTTTACTGAGGGAAAGTGTGTTGAATGATAAAAATTTGGGAAAAACAGAACAAACAACTGTGAAAACTTAGGGATCAGGTATAGCAAGAAGAATCTGCACAGTTAATTGAGAGATGGAATTGTAAAATAAGTAGACCATCCATGGAAACATAAAACCTAAGCTAAGTGTGTGTTCTAAAATAAGGGGGAAGTTAACAGTGTTAAATTATTCTTAAAATATATGCAAGGTAAGGATTAAAAATGTTCTATTTTATTTAGCGACTTTTGAAACCTTGCCATGGAAAGGTTTATTGGGAGTGCTGGGTTAAATTTCAGTTCTTGGTGTACAAAGAAATGAATGGGAAATGATGTAATGTGAGTGAATAAAGAGACTTATTTTTAAACGAGACGTAAAAGCAGCTGGAGTGTGATATTTCATTAACTTGCACGTGCACTTTTATGCGTGTGTGCGCTTCATGCTTGTTTGCTTTACAATATGGGGCACATTAAAAGTGGTAAGAACTAAGAAACTTAAGACTGAGAAAGCACAAATAATCAACGAAATAAAATTCCTGAGAAAGTCAGATGAAATACAAATCAGCTCCATGTCAGCTAAGATATTTCCTTTCCCAGATCTCCACAATGCAGAATTTTTCAGTCTTTAATACTTGAATGCACATTTTGAAATACCAAGAAGAGAATGCGCTGAGGTCATATCAGAGTCAGAACTTCATTTCCAAACGCCATTTCCCTCCTGCCCAACAGTACTAGTAAACCCACATAGAATAACAAATGGAAGGCTATTTATTTTGCCAAATAGCAGAAGTACATTGGCTGTGTTTTGCCAAGAAAACCTACAGTATGTTTTCATTTTCAGGTTTATACTTAGTTTGGAAATATGCCTTCTACAGAGGAAATTTATTAAGAATAAAAAGTCTACATGAATATTCCCATCTCATAACCATACAATATGCTCATTGAGTTAAATGGCAGCATGGCCTGCTTAATTTACATGGATTTCTCCCTTTTTCTCAAGCAAATATAATAAGAAAAATTTGAATAAGAATACCATATGATTCTACTGTACTCTAGTATATGCAACATTCTCCAAATTACTTATTATACAACACTTTTTACATATTACAGAACTGCATTTCACCTAAGGCAGGGCATATACATTCTCACTCAAAATAGAACAGAGTATACAGTATATGCTCTTGAACACTGTACAGAATGTGAAGGACATTCTAGCATCAGGGCTACCTTAGTCACTGTAGAAACTATTAGAAACAAATGAGTGATTTGTTTTTCTCACTCTTGCAGACAGTAGAAGTAAGTAGAGCTAGGTACAGTGGCTCATGCCTGTAATCCCAGCACTTTGGGAGGCCCAGGCAGGCAGATCACTGGAGGTCAGGAGTTCAAGACCAGACTGGCCAACATGGTGAAACCCTGTCCCTGCTAAAAATACAAAAATTAACCAGGCATGATGGCAGGCACCTATAATGCCAGCTACACTCGGGAGGCTGAGGTAGAAGAATCACTTGAACCGGGAGGCGGAGGTTGTAGTGAACCTAGATTGCACCACTGCTCCCCAGCATTGGCGACAAAGCAAGACTCCATCTCAAAAAAAAAAAAAAAAAAAAGAAAGAAAAAAAAGTAACAATGCCATTTTCAAGACAGGTACTGAGAAATTGATAGAAAATATTGGACATACAAAATGTAGGTTATCTAAAACCATAATTTTCTTATTGGGTACTTTGATTTTAGTTCTATTAACCTCTACCAGTGATGACTGGAAATGATTCGCCAGAGTGAATCTTTATTTCCACTAATGCACATAAGTCTAGTATGATATCATCAGCATGCATAACAAGCCTATATACAGTAGATGTGTCTGTGAGAGCTGATTCCCATTGAGCTAAGCATTTTGAAGTTTGCTCAATATGAGTTTTCTTTGTTCTCTTTGATAGAATTATAAACTAAAGGAGCCACAAGATTATCATTCCTAACAATCTATATCCTAACAGGCAAATCGAACGATGGATTCAAGAATTCTAACCATACATACAAAATACCAAAAAAAGAAGATACTAGAATAAATGTGAAATTACTATTTTAGGAGAATAAACTCTCATCACTATTCTTTATAATAAGCTCACCCAATTCTGTGCTTTTGAAACAGCTATAGTAAAAAATGTCTTTTGAGAGCATATGTAATATTTTAAGTAAGAAAAACATACCCATCCAGAACCAGATGCAGCCCCCGAGGCTCTCTCAGGCCTGGTCTCGGGGCCTTATTCCAGTCAGATGGGGTAGCCCCTGGGTAGGGCCCTTCCAGACCCGTGAGTAAGGATTCTTTTTTTTCCCAAACCAAATTTATTTTTAAAGAAATCTCCCACTCTGTTTCTCTAGCGTGTTCATTACATTCGTTGTTGTGATTAAGTAGGCAGATCTTAAAATGAGTGATTTTAACTGCTCAAAAATGTACAATTGAGTGGCATTAAGGGCATTAGCAGTGCTGTGCAACCATTCCCAATACCCAGTTCCAGAACATTCTCATCACCCCACAGGGAAACACCATCCCCAGTAAGCAGCCCTTCCTCATCTCCCTCCCGCCAGCCCTGACAACCACTAAGCTGCTTTCAGTCTCTATGAATTTGCTTGTTCAGGTCACTTCATATACAGGGAATTATCCAATACATGACCTTTTGTGTCTGGCTTCATTCCTGTAGCATCTTTTCAAGGTTCATCCATGTCATAAAATGTGTCCAAATTTCACTGCATTTTATGGCTGAATAATATTCCATGGTGTATGTATACCATGCTTTCTTGATTCACTCATCAGCTGAGGACCACGTGGGTCCTCTCCCGTTTGGTGGTTGTGCACAGAGCTCAATGAACATGTGTGACAGAATTTGTTTGCAACCCTACTCTCGGTTCTCTTATGCATACTTGGGAGTGGAATTGCTGAGTTATATGGTGCCTCTTTCTGCTAGGGCAGCCACAGCAAAAGGCCGCAGGTGGGGAGGCATCAACAGACTTTTTTTTCTCACGTTTCTGGAGACTGGGAGGTCCAAGATCAAGGTGTCAGCCGATGGGTTCCTGGAGAGGGCTCTCCTGGCTGGTAGCCACCTTCTCACTGTCCTCATGCAGCAGGGAGAGGGCCCTGGCATTGCTTCCTCCTCCTATAAGGGCTTCAGCCGTGTGGGATTAGGACCCACCCTGATGACTTCACTTAACCTAAAGATCCCATCTCCAAATACAGTCACATCGGTGTTAGGGCTTTGACATAGGAATTTAGCAGGGGATGTGATTCAGTCCATAGCAGATGGTAATTCTACAGATAGGGGTTCTCAGGGCAAGGGCAGATCAGGGCAAGTGGTAATTCTACAGATGAGGGTTATCGGGGTCAGGGCAGATGGCGCAGGTGTAATTCTATAGACAGGGATTCTCAGGAGGAGGACAGATAAGGTGATAATTCTACACATGGGGGTTCTCAGGGTAAGGGCAGA